AATACAGTGAAATAAACAAAAAAAAGCCCTGTTTTTGCACTAAATATTGTTTATAAAATCCCCTAAAAGTAATTAGTTGCATTTTTGGTTTTTAGCATCTATAAATGATCCTTAACAATATTGCATCGATAGTTTGCTGTTAAATTTTATGTTAAAATATGGCTGTTATTTCGCTAAGTGCCTTGGCCTATTTATTCATTTATCATCGTCTGAATCCTCTTCGTCACTGTCAGTCATTCTTCCGCCCTCTTCGCTATCACTCTCATTGTCATTTGAGTCTGTAACAAAATAAAAATATAAATCTATAGGTTCTGATGTTGAGGAAAATGATTGATACGCACCGACAGATATTTCTTCAAAAGTTGGGCATTCGGGACCATCGTACCAGTAATGGACATACTCATTTTGTATAATTGACCAACCACAATTTTCTGGCATCAGGTTACGCCTAATTAAGCATTCCTGAAACTTCCAGCTTGCTGGTTATCACATAACCCAAAACCATGAAATCGACATGTTTAGAGCGGGGGACAATAAGGAAATACCCAACATTTTTGTCGGACAATATTTTACTAACGCATAATTACGCCTAATTAAGCATTCCTGAAACTTCCAGCTTGCTGGTTATCACATAACCAAACATCATAAAAAGAACATGTTCAGGGTGGGGGACAAGTGGAAATACCCATCATTTTTGTCGGACAATGTTATAGTGACACATTAATACACCTCGTTAAGCATTCCTAAAAGCATCAGCTTGCTGGTTATCACATAACCAAAAATCATAAAAAGAACATGTTTAGGGTGGGGGACAAATGAAAATACCCAATATTTTTGTCGGACAATGTTATAGTGACACATTACTACACCTAGTTAAACATTCCTAAAAGCATCAGCTTGCTGGTTATCACATAACTTAAAATCATGAAATGGACATCTTTCCCGCGGTGCCGAAGGAAAACCTCCCGCGGGCAAACTTTTTCCACGTAGAAAAGTTGTCCGACTCGTCACGCTTAAGCTATACACGAGCTTACAGCTTGCTGGTAATCAGTTTTTTTTTCTTATGGTGTATCAAGGACTAAAAGCAAGATTGGTAGTTCGAGGCTGTCAACAAGAATATGGAATTGATTTTGATGAGACATTCAGTCGAGTAGTCAGCTCAACTGCTCTGAGAGTGATGTTTGGTCTTGCAGTGAAAAATAATTATACAAACAGCACTCTTATACGGCGCATTGAATGAAGAATAATACAGAGTGGCAAAAAAGTCGCGCATAATACCTGTAACTTTTTAATTACCTCGTATACGAAAAAGGGACCTTAATAAAAGTTGCTCAGGAAATTATTTCCCACATTTCTACCTAGACGAATTGCTTCTGTCACTTCTGGTTTGTTTGCTATCCAGACCACTTTTTTTTTTCAAATGAAACATCCTGTATGTGATTGCATATTTGGATTCTACTGAGAAAGCTATGAATTTTTTTGTATTTAAAATGTTCAGCTATTATCAACTGTTTCCGAGATAATGACAAATAAAAACGATTAAAGGGGGTGTGCGCCAAAAATTAAAGTTTTAGTGTAAAAAAATCTAAGAATAACTGTTCAAACCTCGTTATTCTACGATAAACCATCGCTGAGATATACCGCTTTAAAGTGTGGACGACGCTCTCCTGACGTCACGAAAACTTCTTCCAGCAGCGCTCCGCATTGTTAATTTGATTGTTCCCGGCACGCCTGAGTGGTTTCTGTTTAGATTATTGCAGGTAACACAGGAAAAACATATGTTAATTTAAGTAACTCCACTTTCTCGTGCGTCGCTTGACCTTTCGTGACGTCATAGGGTGAGATGCGGTACCTTCATAGAGCCATATCTGCGGTATTATTTGTCATAGAGGGGTGCGGATTTCACTGTTATTCTTAGATTTTTTTCCTCTTTTTTTTTGAGATGAAGTTGTTTTTTTGGCGCACACCCCCTTTAAGTCATTTTAGTAACAATCTTTATAATAAAATAAATAGCCTAGAAAATTAAAAGTTTTCAGTGGATCAGGTGTTCGAAATGACCCCCCATTTTCTGCTAAGCAGAGCGCCAGCCGATCTCTGAACCCGTCTACAACGTTTAAAAGTAAGTCCTCTGGTATACCCCGAATTTCAGCAATAATTCTGACTTTTAAAGATTCTATGTCATTTGGACGGTTAACGTAGACTTTGTTCTTCAAATATCCCCACGAATAGAAGTCGAGCGGGGTTAAGTCCGGGGATCGCGCTGGCCACTCAATAGAACCTCTTCTACCTATCCAAAGTCCTGGAAATTGTTCGTCAATGTATCGCCTAACATTTGCCGCATAATGCGCAGGTGCTCCATCTTGCTGGAACGATACCTGTTCTTTAACTCTATTATTTATACCCGGCGGTGAAACCATTCTGCAAGAAGGAATGATGTGATCGTTGAGGAGGTCGAGATAATTTTCGGCATTCAAATTAACATCTATGAAAAAAGGTCCCACAATATATCTTCCAACTATGCCCGCCCAAACATTAACTTTTTCGGGCCTCTGAGTATGAACCTCCTGGAACCAGTGAGTATTCTCAGCTGACCAATAACTATAATTGTGTCTATTCACAACGCCATTTAAATGGAAAGTGGCTTCATCCGAGAAAATAATGTTTGTTGCGAAGTTATTATCGTTATTGCATATTTCCATCATCAGCTCACAAAATTCAGTTCTTCTATCAAAATCGTCCTCGTTCAACTCATGCACCAACTTTATCTTATAGGGATGTAACTTTTGCTGCTTAAACAGGTTTTTTACTGATTTATGAGAGACAAGAAAATCCATTGCCAATGTCCTAGACGATTGTGTTGGAGTTTCTTGTATTGAGAGCATCATATCCAAAGCTTTGTCTTCTTCGGTGGCTGTTTTAGGTCGACCTGTTCTAGCAGCCTCCGTGACACTGCCTGCAATACGTCCCTTTTGAATTACTCTGATTGAACAGTACGGTTGACTGAAAGTGCTGATCAAATGAAATATCTTGCCGGCCCTTGGGCATAGCCTTGTTTAACAAATTAAAGTTGCGTGTGGCAAATATCTATCGATTAAAGAAAAATTCGGGTCAAAAAGTCTCGTGATTACAATTTAATTCAAGTTTGAATCCCACTCACAAACGTGGTAAGTTTCTTTCAACTTTCATAAGTAATAGTTTTTCAAGGAATGCATTATTGCTTAGGGTCTCACGAATAGCTGATTTTACCCAACAAGTACATTCCAAGAAAGGCCCCATTTTTGAATCAACACCATTTCCGTGCAGCTTGATATTGAGCCTTTGGGAGCATCCCACCCTACTAGAAGCAAGATCCCACAGGTTAATACGTGTGCTGCATCTTTGACGTCAATTATAGACCCTTTTCTGCCCGAAGTCTGGGCTAGAATCCACTAATATCAAGTGTGGCCCCTGTACTGAATAAACAATCAACCCACCCCTAATATTTTTTCAGGCTGAGCTAACTGAGCACATTATGAACCCTTAATTAATTCATTAATAAAAGGGGTAACATAAATTGGGGCCTCAACTTAGGGCCGAATTTATAGTCGTTCCTTGACTCTTCCTTGGAGGTCGTGAGTTTAGAATGAACAGTTGTTACTATTTGACAAGTTAGTCATGTCAATTCTAAACGTTCAAGGCTCCCTGAAGGTCTGAGGAAACCTCAAGGAGCGACTATAAATTTGGCCCTTAAGGGGCATCGAACATCTTAAATAATAACATCAATTAAATATTGTACAGTTTGGTATTATCTTTTATCTTTTCTTTGCATAACTCAACTACTTGACTTTGGGTGTACCGGTATTACTTGAGTGATTTCGAATTAATTTATTTTGACAGTAACATATTTTCCTATACCTTCAATTAGTAAAGGTGTTCAAATATGGCAGATTCCATTAGTCCCCGGCATTTACTTGTATCTGAAATTGATTATGAGAGGAGTCCTTGCTAACTGTGGACGTCCTGATACTTTTGACCTTTGATTTTAAAGCGTCTTTTAGATAAAGAAGCTCAGGGTGGTAATACGAATGTTGGTGTCTATAAATTTACCTATGAATTTCCTACCGAGTCTACAGAAATTGATACCACAATTGCTAGCATCACTGCCTTGGTTGCTGACTTTGAAGGCAATCCTTCTGATACACTTTTTCCCAGAATTAAAGCCCGTCTTGCACATGTAATGGCACGTATACAAAGACTTATCGTCCCTGAGAATGAAACCAAAGACGATGTTGAGGCATATAAACATGAAGCATATATTGTAACGTTTCCAATTTCTTGGCTAATAAGCTACCTCGTTTTGCCATACTGGATATGATTCCATATAGAGCTACAATGAAATAAATGAATAAACAACTATCTTTTTTGTGCCCAGATTTTGTTACCTTGAGTGCTGCCTTCTACTAGAAGTTTTTTTGGTTCAGGTTTGCAAGTTTGGTTAATTGATCTAGGAAGGTTTGATTCAGTACGGCAGGGCCCGCTGTTATTGATTAGAATCTTATATAAAGGAGAGATTTTTTTCATCATCTCTGTTTGCAAATCTAATTGATAAATAAATAATCTGAGGTTATGATAATAATTGTTGTTTATTTTTTGATTTTTCATTCCCATCATGTCATTGAACAGGAGTGCGTTCATAAAATACACACAAAAGACGCTCTGTGTGATTAATCGCTCGAATATCGTTCATAAATTAATCGAGCCTTTTTTTCTGTCATTTTCATTCCGTTCATAAATGTTTTAAATTAAAACCCGGAGTGCGCCCCGCTTGTTCGCCGCATTGGAATGCCCGGCGAAATGTTACTCGACATGTGCAATTGTCATTTTTGTGAAAAAAAAAAAAATGAAAATGTGAGGTTGTTTTCCGTCGGCGTCGAGATTATTTTTCGTTTTGTTAAATTTGTTTTGAAGCAGAGTTTTTGAAGCACGGTTGGAAGTAAATCTTTACTTATTAATAAAGAAAAATGGCCAGTGTTCAATCTTCCGATTCTTTCGATATAAATAGTGATAATTACACTGTGGTGAAACTAGATAATGGGGAATTGCTGCAATCTGAAGATGGCAATATTTTCGTTCAAAATCGTTTTAGTAAGTATGATATTATTATAGGCTGTGATTAAATATTGGATTAAATACCTTCGAAGTTGTCCATCAGGCATACCTATTACCTACTACATAGTATAGTGTATTGTTCAAACTTCTAATTAAATAAATCATGGATAATTATTTACTAGAAATTATTCGCCATGTATATTATAATTATATATAAATTATTTATGTATTTTAGAAAAAGGCATTGCACATTAATTGATTAGCTTTACCTTATTTGGAACATGTTCGAGTATCAGATAAATAAATAATATGCATAATATGTATAATTTTGTAGTTAATCTCTAGTAAGGAACGGTTTCTCAATAGCCAGTCACCCCCGGGTTAAGCTAACTCCGGGGTAAACATTGCAACTTTACACGTTAACCCTGGAGTTGAAACCAACCTGGAGGTGACTCGCTATTGAGAATCCGGCCCTAAGAACTATAAAATTGATTTAGGCGAAGTTAACTAGGTATTCTAGTATACATATTTCTATATAGGTAGTTCCTTTGGGTTAGCTTGTAAAAAATTGTGAAATTGAAAACTTTAGTGAAAACCTCGGTGAAAACACTATCAATAATTCAGCTTTGTCTTATTTTTAGCTGGAAACCTTTGTACAATCAAACCCACAAATATTGTGTTGAATGAATTTAACATTACCCTGTCGGAGAAAGAGGATACTGACCCTGTTTGGGATGAGATGAAAAATTCTCGAGGAGCAAGGGAACAAAGTAAAGAACGCAGGCATCAAGAGTTATTAAATGTTAGAAATCGAGCAATTGATGTTTTTTCCGAAAAAATGGACCAATTTATTGAAAAATGTACTAAATAATTCAGTTGACTGGTAGGTCTCAGTTTGATACATTGTATTTGTATTGTATTGTACTTGTTCATGGAGTATTTTGCTCACATTCCTAAACTACGGAAGCTTTGAAAGATCAAAATTCAGAAGCACTCATTATCTCGGGATTAATTCTGATATATAGAACATAAGTCAAGAATAATCCCGACCTAGAAGCCCTATCTCAGGATTAATCCTGAGATAGGGCCCAGTTGTACAATCCTGGTTCAAAACAGAGCTTAGTTAAACTCGACTGGTACTTAAACTTTTTCATTTAAAATACATTGTTGTCAGATATTTATAAAATTCTATCAATTTTGACAGCAATGCATTTTAAATGGGAAAGTTTCAGTATCAGTCGAGTTTAGCTAAGCTCTGTTTTGAACCAGGATTATACAACTGGGCCTAAAGTCGACATTAATCTCGACTGATAAATTATCTCAGAATTAATCCGAAGATAATGCTCCTGTTGGGATTAATCCTGATTTGAAAAATAAGTCAGGATTATTCCTGAGATAAATTTGTGAGATCATCTCAGGAATAATCCCTACTTTTTTTACCTACTTATCAAAAAGGTGTAAATGCACATTTAGGCCAAGCAATGGGTAGATTTGCCTGGAAAAAAATACAGGAGTTTTCAAAATTTGTAGATTAGCACCACTTTATAACCTGAATAACATATTAAGTTTGCGACCTCGACACGCCGCCGCTCGCACCACCATATTGTAAAGATGGAGCCAAAAATCAGTTTTTTCGGAGTATCTTTTTTTCAGTAGGCCCTACGTAAATAATAGTCATTACAAGAGTATAGAGGGGAAAATTTCCTACAACTTTCCTTCATTACATTTTTCCGTGCGATCAATAGTTCAGGAGTTATATTGATATAAGTGATGGCAAATTATTTAAATCAATGAAATACATTTGCTTGCAGCTCGCCACTGCACTTGTTTTCCATATTGAGGATATTGAGATTATATCATGACTTTTATTTTATTTAGGGGATACTTGGGACCCCCTTTAGACCGTCGTTACAAAAAAAAATCGAAAAAAAAAATAATTAATTTTTTCGTCAAAAAAATTCCAAGCCTTGATTTTTTTTTCTTTTGAATTTTCAAAACGTCATAACTCGGAAAAGAGAGGTCTGAGAGAAAAATTTTAAATACAAATCTTGTAGATCTCATTGAGGACTACAAAATTGCTCATTAGAGTTACCCCTCTACGGGGCACCGTTTTCGAGAAAATCGACCTCGAAAATTTTGACAAATTTTCAAAAAATTTCAAGTTTGACGGCGAGCGGCGGCTTCCCAAGGTCGCAAATGAAGTATGTTGCTTAGGTCATACACCTATACTTGCCAGCCAAGTTTCAAAACTCCTGTATTTTTTTCCAGGCAAAGCACTTTTGAGCACCCCATTGCTTGGCCTAATTTGTATTTACACTTTTTTGATTACCTATTCAATCAACCTGTTCAGGTGGGGTGTAAAAATATAGGAGAAAACCCTGTACCTAAATTTTGAGCCTTTAAAGCTTCTTTACTAAACAGAGATAGGTATATTTTTTTAATTCAAGACAACCATACTTTTATCTAGTAAGATTAGTAGATAATAATATATTTATTTAGGTATGGTATGATGTACTGTAATAAGTGGTTTTTAGGTTGTATTGTTATATAGGTACTGGTGCAATAACCTGATTTAATAAACTTTTGTTTTGTCATATACAGGGTGTCATTGAAATGGTGTAAAAAATTTTGGGGGATGATAGTACCTACTCATAAAACTGGCGAAAAAAAATCCTATAAGTATGGGTTCTAAAATGCATATTAGGGGGCATAGAAACCCCTCACCCTTGGGAAAAAATACCCTTTCCGATTCAACAAATTATTTTTTGACATCATCATTTGATGGACAAAAAGTATGCTAGCTCGGATTTCTTCATAAAATTTATCTCGTTTTTTAAACCAATTTCAAAAAAACGATTTTTTTATTTATTTTCTTAACACTTTTACGAGCCATACTTATAGGAACTTTTTTTTACCAGTTTTATGAGTACTACCACCCTCCAAATCTTTTTCCACCATTTCAATCAATAACAACCTGTGTAAGTAGGGTTCATTAAAAATAAAAATCAGATATTTGCAAGTTATGTTTATCAAATGATATAAAAATTGTAACGTGTTATTAATGTCTATTTCTATTTAAATACAGATTCCTGCAGATATCATTTCTCATATTTCTTCCTTCCTCTTCTTGTATTCTACCTTCTATAGCAACATTAACCTCGTCTTCATTAATTGACCTTTTCAATTTAAAAGCCTCTCTCTCTGGCATCAAACTGTCAGACGCCAAAAGAGTATGAAAACAATGGTTGACAGCCGTTGACAGTGGTTTGTAGACAAGACTTTTGAAAGAAACTATTATTTCCTCGGGTTTTTTAAGGTTTTTTCTTAACAATGGTGATTGTGTGTAGTGTGCCTATGCATAAAACGAATTCCTATTTATTCCTATTCACCGGTGGATGTGTTTTTCCATAAGTTTCCATCAAATCCTATATTTGTCAAAACTTGGATACACAAAATCAAAATGCAGAAAGGATACTCGCAAAAGAAAGGGAAATCCACGGCTCATCAAGTATACAAAGTAATCCATGTTCAAGTTTAGTTTTCAGAAGCTGTTTGCTTCCAAAATAATCCACCCCGGCTTCATAGCGAAGTTCTGCGAATGAAGCAGTGACTTTTCCCACATTTTCTTTCCAATTTCAAACCCTGTGTTTTTATTATAAAATTTTACCGATGGATCCATCATTCTATGTCGGTGATTGGTGATTATCATTTTCCATTCACTTAACAAAGGTAGCTAACTCATTGGTGAAGTCACCGATTCGAATAAAAATGAGGGGATTGCTAAACACCCAATACACATTGACATTGACAAGCAAGCAAATTTTGAAAATGAATGTTTTCATACTTATCGTTCATCTCTTTTAATTGAAAACGTCAATTACATTATTGGCACCTTCTTGAATATAATCATTAACCTGATGATCCACCTGAGTCAAACAAATGTTGTGTAATACACATGCAGCTAATACTGTTCCTGGAATGAGATCATTTCTGTTCATGTCTAGGAATTTGAGTCTTCGAAATCTCCCAAATAATAATGCAAAAGCTCTTTCAATGACCTGTCGAGTTTTTGCATGAACAATATTGAAATAAGTTTGGGCTGGAGTTAATTGTCCTCTATTTATAAATGGAGAAATGCACCATGATAATAATGGATAAGCTTTATCTCCGATGATAAATGTATTATTCGGACAATACCTGCCACGATTGTTCCTTATTGCTCTATAGATATCAGAGTTCTTAAAAATTCTAGTATCACTGACTGAGCCTGGATAACCTATAAATGCATCTATGAATAATAGATCTGAATCTGCAACTGCTTGCAAGGTGAAAGCATAATTGCACTTCCTTGTAATATAGGACTGAGGGTCTTCTTTTGGGGCTTTAATTTGTATATATGTGCCATCTACGGCTCCTATAACATTTTCCAATTGAGCAATGTTACCAAATTTTCTCTTAATTTGGTTGAGCCTTTCTCCTTCTGGCCATTTTATAACTCGAGTAGCGAGGGAATTAAGTACTTTAATCACTCTTAAAAAACAGACTGATAGGGTAGATTTGGCAATGTTAAAACGTTCTCCAACTGATCTAAAAAATGAGAAAAAAAAATGGAAATGAAATAGGTTTAATACATTTTTGGTTCCTGTGAATTCAATACCTACCTATATGAGTCTGGAGTTGCTAAAAGCCACAAAACAGCTAGTAACTGTTTCTCTGGATTCACTGTAGATCTTCCAACAACCGTTCTACGAGACAGTTCTAACCCAATCATACCCAAAAGATGTTCATAAGCATCTATAGTAACTCTAAAATGTTGCTGGAATTGTTGGCGAGTTAAGCTGGGAACTATTTCTTCGAAGTATTCTGAAATTCTGCATGGTTTAGCCAACTTCCGTTTTTTGGAAAGAAATAGCATTTCATATTCTTCTTCACTCGTCTCCGACTCATCACTTTCACTGTCGGACATAGATACGGGAATTTCAAATAAATTTTGCACAGATGGAAGATCTTCAAGATGAAAGTGAACAAGAAGACAG